ACGATGACAAAATGAAATGTTGAAATTTCTGTGGTGGCAATCGTCCTTGATTTTTGTCAGGTCATCTGAAGTCATTATAGCGGGGTAGTGGATATTGTATCTTTGAGTTTTTGAGGGCTCTATTCGGGACTGGACTCTAATCGGGAAAATCCGTTAGTTTCAACTTAGAAAGAACTAATTTGACACATATGCACTCAAAGCAAATAAAATAAGCATATCTGCGGTTGATGTGTAATTGAGCTGTCGACTGTGTGTTTATAGATAGTCAGCACTCCAGTGCAATATGCAAACAACCCCGTTTTGACATGCTTGTACGCCGAAGAACGAAAACAATGAAAAGATTACTATATGTTTGTCTAATTCCTACTGCTTATGCCATATGTGTCTTTCTCTCGCTTATGCTAGCTCTCAACTCGTACCACTCACTTGATTAGCTGGTTTCGCTAGTAGAGATATCCGACGTAGTACTTCGTACTTTGAGCTAAGTTAATTTGAAATAGAAGTTCAAATTTAATTTTAATAATCTTATCCTTTTTTGTGTATGTACATATTCAATTGTTGTCCCTCAGACTTAGTGCAAAGCTTAGAAGTGCCGGTCAGAAGATAAGAAAGTATGATGATTGTAATGGATACAGCTGAGAATATCGGATTTCATAAAAGTAGAATCCGTGGGGCACGTCAGCTACCATCCTCACTCACAATTTCAAAGGTACTTTGAGACAAAAATAAAGCAGATATTTTGATACTAACTAAAGCTGTGCTTTATCCTAAATACGTCACCAAGAGAAATAGATCAAAGGTAAAACTATTACATCGGAGGCTCTTGATTTGGTGAGTGGCGAACAGGATACTCTCTAATATCTTCGCTGGTCAACTACACGTAACAAGCGTCTGCCGCTTTGATCAGAACAGTTGAAGGCCTAAGGGCGTAAAACGGTTGTTGCTTGCCTCAAAGCATTCAACAATAATGAAAATACGCTGGTGGAACACCTCGACGATTGTCTTGAACCAGAGACGTCGGGAGTACGTTTGTTTGCCAGCGCGCGGCGACATACGCAAAGCATCCCACATTTTCGGGGCACGGACGAAAACAATCTCTTCCTGGGTAGGAGAAATTAGAATGGCCATACAAATTGTCATGCTGTAGTTGGGCATACTTCGTCATGCTGGGAGGCATCAAGCTAGAACGTCAGACGCGAGAATAGGCACTCACGCGTCCTTTGTCTATTTTATTGCGATTCTCATCATGAGATATAATCCACGCGAAAGATCACACCACATCACCAGTTTTGCGGCGTGCAGTTTACGGTTGCCCATTGTCGGGGGAAGATAGGATTACAGTTTCTGTGGATCTTATCGCCGATATATCGATAATGTTTTCTTAAAAAGGTTACCGTATCCACGAAGGATCTCGGGTCATTTGCACCTGGTGCCAAGACCATTCGGTTTGACCTACTTTCAATCTATCTCTTTTAATATGTGGTGGGTGTCGAATTGAATGTCAGGCGTAGTTTTATGTCGGCTGTTCAGCGGGAGCGCGGGAGAGGAAATTATACAAGTGCGCCAGAAGCAATAGACCTCAGAAGAAGAGTGTGATCTCTTAGCTGCCGCACAGGACCACTGTACACGCCTATATTTACTCTGTGATAGTGCCCGAACACTCGCATCCTTTATGCCCCTCCTCTCTCAGTTAAATTATATGAATAATTAGACTCACGACAAAAAAATTACTCACAAATTAAGTTCGCCGCAATGCGTCCACTAAAAAAATATAAGCTTTACTCTAATTTGTTAAGGTCGAGGCTAGTAAGACCCAGCACTAAATAGAGCAACTCTAATAAAGGGGCTGTGATAACACCAAAGGGTTGTTGTTATCTGTCAGCATCGATGCCCGGACTGCATATCCACTAATACCCCGATCGAACTAGGAGTGTAGTGCAATTATATAGGATGCGTGACTGCTGAAAATAATAGACAGTATGCAGAGGCACCAAGATTCCGGATATAGATATGATATTCGTGCATCGTGCGGCAAGGGCATTAGTGAAAGTGTCGAGAGATCATGCGGAACGCTGTTTGGTTTTAGAGAAACCGTTTCATTTTAGGTATGGCGAGGTGGAACGTCTTGGGCCATGAATATATCAGAAGCCGGTACCATTTCGCGCCACGCACTACTCGACTGGTATAGATCTAATTAGTCATGAATTACTCTATACGAGAAGCAATCATAAAATTGCAATAGCAGTGATATAAAGTTTTGGAAATGCTCGAAATAATCAGCATTGATATAACAAGGGCCATTAAACTAAGCGAGGAAGGCAAAAATGACAGTGAGATGCCGTTTCCTTAAGGTGTTTCGAAAAAGACGAAAACTCACACCTTATTCGGTGACATTTTGACTAGGGAAGGATAATAGCAACCTAATGCTGTTTTTTCCCGGGCAAACCCTGTGGAAACAGGCGACTTTTAGTGTTACGCCCAAGTAGCGGAGCAGTAAAGACATCTTTGGTTTGTGTCGAGTAAGGTTTTTAACTCGTAAATAGAGTGGCAGGAGAAGTTCGATAAATTTTAGTATCTCATTACCACACCATGCAGACGCTCTTGTTGCGCTTGACGTGCTAATTTTTGGCAAAAATGCTAAGAATTGCAAGACGGTGAGACCGCCGAGATAAAAATATTGATTTCAGAAAAGAAGTAGAGATCGTTAACAGTTATGGTTATATTTTAAGTGTCAACACTAGCAGAGCACTGAGTATGATCATCCTCATCTGGTCTCAGCGTATGCACTGGACTGTTGCTAGCTCTAAGCATTAAAATATGCATAAACAATTCGTCAGTTGCTTTACAAGCTCTGACGAAGAAAATAGGCGCCGAGGGAAAGAAGGTTCTCAACCGCACCAAAACTTGCTTCGTGCTTCACATGAAAAAAGTCGCTCGAATCGTAAAGGTCACTAATTTTTGTGAAGCTATACTTGTATACCAGGTCAATTACATATTACTTCTCCTTTATCCGTCTTGTTCGTGGCATCTGCTCAATAACGATAGTAAAGCATCGGTAGGATCTTTTATGATAGCTGTCCTACTCACGTACTCACTGATCTCATTGAAAGTGCTAATCCTTTTCATGTACTAGCCGTACTTATATGGTGACTTTATCTGTTCCTTGTAAATAATTTTCAAGAGAATTTGTCAGGCTCATTAAGATGTTTTGTTTGGGGTAACGAAAGCGTACAACTCCAAAATCACTTCAGACGAAAGAAATCAATTTGCCACAACATGTGGAGATTTACTGATTACCGTCGACATAAGAGAGCCTGCTGCCATGGAAGCGACAAAAATTCTCGATTTATTTGCCATAATTCGCTGTGTTCGTCTCCTTCGATGAGTGGACAGCATTGATAAATTCAATGCCTCGTAAATAGGTACTAATACCCAGAACATCTGCTAGTTTAAGATTACTCATGATGGGAATGTCTCTTCTACACGTAAGTGCTCATCCAAGCACGCGGCCTCGAATCTGAACAGTGCATGCGCGTCGCGCTGGTACTTCACCTTGTTCATTGCTGAGTTTATAAACATCTTAATTTCGATTGTCCGTAGAAAGAGAATTTTTTTGTTCTCAAAGAATTCGAGATTCAGCATGAAAGTATCAGGGTGGGATCCGATTATTCGTCCACAAACATTCTTGAAGATGTTTAACCAGCGCATTGTCATAGCTGATGATCACCTCAAACCAAACGACTGCCATCGTGCCGTTTACTGATTTAGCTCCCTGGGATCAACCACAGATATGTGCTTATCAAACGAGTTTATTTGTCCCGGGAGCAGATATTCGAACACTTTTTGCTCCATCCTAGCATAGATATCACTAAGTGCAACAGAATACTGCACAGAGAAATCTTTGAGTCCACGAGTCTACGTTAACAAATGCACCAAAGATGGGTTTGTACTAAACCTGAACATTTAGTTCAAGAGCGGGACCAAGAGCCTCTGAATAATTTGAGTAACGTCTTATACTCAAGATTATTAATTTGAAGAGATAAGTCTGGATAAAACTCATACAATATACAAAATAGCAGTACTAATATTTTGCAGATCATGCCTTCAAGAAACTAAATCTCTCGTTAACTGATGACATGAAGACAAAAATCCAACATATACCACGAACCTTTTTTAACAGAAAGGCCTTTTCAATGGGCTCAAGAGGATTTTTCGATTGCTAGATGACGCCGCAAACTTGGATATGATGTGGTGGTCTTGCTCCAACAAACATGTTGCTCTCTTGTCGACTGGCGTCGTCAAGGTCAAGGCGTCAGATTTTTGGCTGGTTAAATTAGGACACCGAGATTTGAACATAGGCAACTCGTAATTTAATATTCATGTCGTATTTTAAGTAAAAGTATTTTGGCGCCGCGGTTGTTTAAATTTAAAAAAAATCGCTCCATGGACAGTGCCACACCGCATTCGCCTACTCTGGCACTTGGTGGTTTACCGGATCTTACACGAAGACTCCAAGACGAGAGAGATGCGCTGCGTGTTGAGATGGAAGAGCTGACACGTCGTCTTTCACAAGAACGCGTCGCTCGATCAACGCTGGAGAACGAAGCACAATTGCGCGAGCTAGAATTGCGCCAAGTGCAACAGCGTAGTTCTCAGGCGACTCAGCAGGCTCGGGACAAGCAGATGGCGCTCGAAAAGGAACTGGAGGAGGAGGTGGCTATGCACAAGATGGCGGTGCTTGGCAG